ACACATGGCAGCACGTGATGTTTATGTGGCACTATTCGACAATAGCAAGACTTCTGGAATCAACCCAAAGCTCCATCAGGTGACAGAGCTGGATAAGAAAATTGCCACATAGACACCAATTGGAAACGTATGCAGCCGATAAGAAAAGGGATGAGTTCGTGGTCCTTTGTAGGACATGGATCTCAGCAAACTATCACAAGAACAGAAAACCAAATACTGCATGTTCTCACTCATAAGTGGGAACTGAACAATGAGATTACTTGGACACAGGAAGGGGATCATCACACACCGGGTCCTATTGTGGGGAGGAGGGAGGGGGAGGGATAACATTAGGAGATACACCTAATGTAAATGATGAGTTAATGGGTGCAGCACTCCAACATGGCACATGTATACGTATGTAACAAACCTGCATGTTGTGCACATGTACCCTAGAACTTAAAGTACAAAAAAAAAAAAAAAAAAAGAAAATAACCTATGGAGAAACAAGGATGAACAATTACATCAGAATTATCAACAGCAAAACCGAGTATAAAAAATAAAACAATGTTCTATTTTAAAGAAAAAATCTTAAGTATTTATTATTTAAAAAAAGCAACTCATATGCCTGGGATAATTGTAAAAAAAAAAAAAAACACAAAAAACGACTAATTCTAAATTTAAAATACTAAAGTACTTTCACTTAATTCAGTATTTTTCTATCATGTATTATTTCCAATTGTATTTGCCCTTTACCTGTTCATATTGTACATGATAGTAAGTAATCTAAGAGGAAGATACCAGAAGTAAACAGAAATATTTGTAATTACTCTCATAATCAGCTGCTAGGATTACATATCAAAAAATGGGAAGTTTTACCTCCTCACATCATTTTTAATATTCTAATATTATAAAATATTATAAAACAGTACAAACTGCAGTTTCAGTTCCTTATTTATGAATTTCATTAACAAAAAGAGAACAGCTTAATGTATCTGCCTTTCTGCACAGAATAAGGAGGTTGTGACCTACATACTTTAAATAGTTCAGAATCACAAGTGGTCGGGAAGACGACATTCATAAACTGTTTTTCAGCATTTTTTTCATACATTTTACACACAGTCTTGAAATGCAATGTGCCATATATGAAATTTTTCTTTTTTTCTTTTTGAGATGGAGTCTCACTCTGTCACCCAGGCTGGAGTACAGTGTCGCGATCTCACCTCACTGCAACCTCCGCCTCTCAGGTTCAAGTGATTCTCTTGCCTCAGCCTCCCAAGTAGCTGGGACTATAGGTGTGTGCCACCACACCTGGATAATTTTTGTATTTTTAGTGGAGACAGAGTTTTGCCATGTTGGCCAGGCTGGTCTTGAACTCCTGACCTCAGGTGATCCACCCTCCTCGGCCTCCCAAAGCGCTGGGATTACAGGCAAGAGCCACCATGCCCAACCTGAAATTTTTCATTTGTTTCTCCCTTAAATTTATTCATATTTTCCTTTACCACAGGGCCACTATTTTAAGTACAGCAACCTTTGTAGTTATTCTGTGTCCTTACAAACATATGACAAAAAGTTACGATCTCCTCTACAACCTTCTCAGGTTTTCAATCTTTTACAAGTATTATATAGTGTGTTTTCTTATTTATACCTCTATGGCATCTTTCAACGAACCCGCTAGCAAGAAAAAAGCAGCGGATTGTTCAAAGCGTTGTTTTCCAAGTAAGGAAAAAGCATTTTTCAAAGCAGCTTTTCGCCATCTATCTTCATTAAAGTTGTGGCTGAAAAATGTTGTCATTTTTTCATCATGCTGTGACCTGGGAACCAAGCAGAAACGTAAAGTGGTTAAACCAAATTTAAAATGTTCTACAAAATGTATAAAAATATAAAATAAAAACCTCAAACATAAATCTAAAAGAAGAACAGGCATTTGTTATTAAGCATCTCTTCACTTCTTCTAATAAGGAATGTCAACGCCTTATGTATACATAACTAGGAAACGAAAGCATTTTTTACTTTGCAAAGTGCTTTTATCAACTTTTAAAACATCCCACACCTTAGATTAAGCTGAAAATATATTTTACCCTTTTTTTCAGCTAAAGGAACCAAGTCGCATAGAAGTTGATTTGATGAAGCTCATACACCTAATTATTTTCAAAAGCATTAGGTTTCTTACTCACAGCACAATCTTCATTCTGTTGAATCACATTAAGTGTCAAGGCAACTTACCTAAACAGACCCCACACTACTGCTTTCTTCTTCATTGAAAGGTAGAATAGTGCAGCATCTAAGGCATCATTGTTCCTTTGAAAAGAAGCTTTGGCAACCTAAATGATAAATTAAATATTAAATTAATAATTTGACAAAAGAATTACAATCAATTAATCAACAATGTTTCCCTGCTACTTCCATGGCTGATAGAAACTGTAGAGACAGAAAAAGTTGGTTCTGTTTCACAATCTTCAGTAAGTTATAATATTAATACACGCTCCTAGAGATAATCATTTGCAAGCCAGTAATTATGGTAAAAATCATAATTACAGCCAGCACTTATTGACTATTTACCATGTACTGGGCACGAGTCTATGCACCTTTTGTTATCTTATTGCATCACTACAAACCATGAGGTTCTATCATTATTCCCATTTTACAGATGAAGTGACTGAGACAGAAAGGTTAAGTGAATTGCCTACAGTCACACAGTAAGGGTTAGAAAAGGGAATAGAACCCAGGTAGAACTGAAACTAACATAGAAAGCAATAAAGAAGGCAGAATATTCAATAGATGTGAGTTTTTTCTTGAAAATTCAACATGTTATACTGTATGTAATCATACTGTCTTAAACATAAGAGCATATAGGCCATATCTGATTTTTCCAGGATGCTGAGATACAGCCTCTGCAAATCATTAAGCTGAAAGGCATACTGACAAAAAACAGTGGACGTTTTATTAATTAGCTCACATTGATGGCAAAGCAGGAAGCTATAATACTAAGGTATGGGAAAAAGGGAAAAGACACCTAAATTACATCACGAAAATGCTTTACTCTTGGGTCGGGCACAGTGGTTCATGCCTGTAATCCCAGCATTTTGGGAGGCCGAGACAGGCAGATCACTTGAGGTCAGGAGTTCAAGGGAAGTCTGGCCAACGTGGTGAAACCCCGTCTCTACTAATACAAAAATTAGCCAGGCGTGGTGGCGCACACCTGTAGTCCCAGCTACTTGGAGGCTGGGTGGGAGAACTGCTTCAACCCGGGAGGAAGAGGTTGCAGTGAGCCAAGATTACATCATTGCACTTCAGCCTGGGTGACAGAGTGAGACTCCATCTCAAAAAAAAAAAAAGAAAGGAAAAAAAGAAAACATTTTACTCTCAATACTCTTTTCACTTCCCCCTTTTAATTGTGTTCTCTGCCCCTTATCATTTAACTTAGTGCTTCAATATACTCCATCAGTTTTAGAAGAATTTTATTTGTATTCAGCTGATTTATAATACACATTTCAAGGCAGAAAATGTACATATCCCTTTAAGAAATAAATTACTTTCGGAAATAAATCATATGTATATTATCACAGACAATTATAATGACAAGACACATGTTGACAAGAAGTAAAATCTTTGTGGGATACATCTGAAACAATTCAGATAAAATATGTCCTCTTTTATCCAGTGCTTTGGAATATAAAAAATTTAATGTAGATACTGCATCATTTATATTATTTAACAATTAACTTTTCCTGTACATCAGAAATCACATTTTTTAGTTGGTGCAGGAATGAATTCCTTCTTATATCTGTGCTTATTTTAGAAAAGAAAATACTGGTATTTTGTTGGTAGCCTTACATGTAACAGAAAAATAATACTTTTAGACTCACATTTAAAACTGTGATCTGACAACCATACACACCAGAATCATGGGATGCTGATTAAGATGAAGAAACCTCAGCCTTACCACTAACCTACCAAATTAAAATCTCTGGTTATGAGATGGAGAATATGCATTCTACATAAGTTTACCAGGTGAGTCTTCTTTGGGGAACTACTATTAAGGAATTAATCAGGAAAAGGTCTTGGCATCCTTCAGAGAAACAAATTCATACTTCACAAATATAGTACCACTGATTGTACTCCAGGGAATTCCAAAGGACTAAAAGGAAAATATGAATGAGAATTCCACTTTCCTAATCCTGCTAAAGTAGAAAGGGCACAGGCTAAATCTAACATTTATAAATGACTGGAGTTTGGGCTTGTTACCTAGCCTCTCTGAATCTTAGTTCCATTATGTGTAAAATGGAAATGATGACATAGGGTTGATTAGAACATAACATGGAATTATTTATGAAAAGCAACTGGCACCAAACCTGGTAGAGAGCTGAACTGATTTTTTTTTTCCTAAAAGAAATCTACCAGAAAACTGACTTCAAAAACCTGCCCTAAAAACTTTTATAGCCATTTCACTTGCTGCCACAGATATGTTCTTCAAGTACACACAAATCAAAACTGTTTTTATCCAATGAGATTTCAAGCGTGCAAAGAACGTTTGCTACTTATTAAACTAGTGATGCAGAGAGTCCTTTGTATAAAAAGTTTAATTTGTAATGTAAATAACAAACAAGAACTCAAGTTTACTTTCTAAATTTAGATTTTTGCATTTTCTTAAACTAGAGCACACCTCAATTAATAACAGAAAATATTATTCCACGGATATATTATAAATTCAGCCTATATAGAAAGACACAATATCATACTGCATGGATGTTTTATGAAGGTCAAGTTTTTGTAATCTCCAGAAACTTTATTTTAAAAAGTCTCACCAGTCATGGTGGCTCACGTCTGTAATCCCAGCCATTTGGGAGGCCGAGGAGGGCAGATCGCCTGAGGTCAGGGATTCGAGACCATCCTGGCCAACATGGGTGAAACCCTGTCTCTACTAAAAATACAAAAATTAGCTGAGTGTGGTGGCACACGCCTGTAGTCCCAGCTACTTGGGAGGCTGAGGCAGGAAAATCACTTGAACCCAGGAGGCAGAGGTTGTAGTGAGCCAAGATCACGCCATTGCACTCCAGCCTAGGCGACAAGAGTGAAATTCCATCTCCAAAAATATATATATATATATATCAAGACCTCAAGATAGACAAACAAATTTCCCACTACAGGTTTTCTGGGAGACAGTATCTTTTTTTCTTTAGGAAAAGTTTTTTTTTTAATATAACTCAAAATCCACTAAAAAAAAAGTTACCTTTTCAATGCATCTTCGAAGCGTGTTAATGTTCCTCACCCACCACCCTATTCCCATAGCTCTTAATTCAGACCACTGGGGGTCCCCTCTCTGAATTGCTGGAATCATATTAATCAGTTCTTCTTCAGCCTCAGAATGAAAAGCCCAGGCAAAATGGCATGTAGACACACCTAAATTGGAAATATAAAATAATAACCTTCATAATTGTATCAAATAAGAAAAACAATTTTTCATGCAGTCACATACGCATTCGTTTTGGAAAGAATTTTGAAGCAGAAAGAGTGAAAGGCAGTCTGTCATCGATTCAGGACTTTATACTATAAGTTTCTGAATACAAGATCAATAATGTGATACACAAAATCCAAATCTCTTTTTCCCCAAACATTTGTTTTTGTTTCCCCTACAAAAATAGGGACACTAAAACTTAATCATTAGAAATAAAAATATTTGAATATCAGGCCATTCACATGTATGGCACACCAAATAAAGACGTCACAAGAGCTGCCCAAGCTCACACAACTAAGAGTGCAGGGCCCAGGCCTGATTCCAGGTTTCTCTGTCACGAGGACCTGTGAATCTGGCCTGCCCAAGAGGACACAAGGTGTGTTGTCCTCGACAAGAGCCCAGGGGAAGGAAAGCATGGTGAAAGCTTCGTTCAAGTCAAAAGCACTTGGCTCACCGGCCTGGATGTCGATTCTAGCACCACTACCCCATTCTTCTCTCTACCCATGGAGCTAAATATCACTTCAAAGCAAGCTCTAAACTTCATGAGAGTTCCAGAAAATAATAAGGGTAAGTTGCAATCATGATATACATTCCTCTGTTTTTAGTGCCTTCAGTTAAAAGTAGTTTAAAGTGCCTAATATTGATGCTTTTTGATGAACATTGTTTTTTGCTTTGGGTTTTTTTTTTTTCCTCCTGGGAGAAGACTGACAGAGATCTAGGCTATTTGTAGAGGCAACAAAATCTTTACTGATGCTATTAGACTTCCAAGTACTAATGGATTTATCAACAGTTCAATTATTAATAACACTCTTACTGAAATTCGACTTAGAGCAGGTAAAAACACAACGTAATGAATGTGAACCATGCAGAATGGTAATGAATAATGGGAATGCTGGGAAGAACTCTGGGAAGCCTTGGAAGGAAGCCAAACTAGTCCAAGTAGCCATCTCTATGAACTCATTTTAGAAATAAAGACACGTCTGAGGTCAATGAAAGTCACATTACAACACAGGCCTCTCAGTGCTATTAAGTATCAATATTGTTACACATAATTTTTTTCATTATCAACTACTATACAGATTTTGTATGCAGTTTAAAGCTTTTCTAATAATTACTGCTTCACTATAATTCCTTTAGAAAGTAAAAAACAAAAAACTATTATTATTATTTTGAATAACAATCTTAACTCTCTTAAATTTCCCATTGCCAACACTCATATAACAACTGTGTTTGTAATCATACCACAAAACTAATGCAACATATCTTGGCTGCCACTATAAATTTAGGGGAAAACACCGGACAAAATTAATAAAATCAATTTAGTTTTTAATAACCTGAAAGACAGACTAATTTTTTGACTATTTAAATCTCTGCTGTAAGAGAGAATTACTGCATCATATAATTGAAATTCTGCTTTAGAAACTAATATACAGCAACACAAAATGCATAATTTGCTGATACAAAATTTATAATATAAAATAATACATAGCATATTACATTCTATATCCTTAAATTAATTAAAATTTTGGTATAAGAAGAAACAAAACAAAAATACACACAGACATGTCAGAAGAATTAGGTTCAGAAAGCAAGATTAAGAGCAGTGAATGTATCTGAAAACTTGCAGAGATGAAAAACGTTATTAGGGAAGAAAAAGAACAGGGGCACCAACAGGCACTTCTTTTTATTTACCTACCAATGGCAGGCTATTCTCTACAGTTTATCTCTGCTCTTCTCAGCTTTTCTATCTACATACTGGCTACTTAATTTTTCCCTGAAAACTGGTCCCAGGACCATCACCTATAACACCAGTCACTTCTCATTGCTCATGCTTTAACTGTAGTAGAAGGGAAAATGGAATTTGACAACGCTTTAGAAATTTGAAGTGTTTTAGATTGCCTTAGGAAATGTAAAAAATTGTTATTAATTGATTCAATAGCACTTGACTATCACCCAAAATTAAAGAGAACATGGAGATACCATTTTAAAAATCTATCCAAATGGCATAGATTGCTTAAAATGTTAATATCAAATGTGGGCAATGGGTTGAGTTTTGGCATCATCAAACTTTTTTTATTTTACATTTTTAATAATTTTTTGTTTTCAATTTTTGTGAGTACACAGTAAGTGTATACAAACTTCTGGGAATGTAAATGAGCACAGTATTTCTGAAGGGCATTTTCATGATACTTATCAAGAGTGAATAATTTTCACACCTTTTGATTCAGTAATTCCACTGCTAGAAAACTAGCATGAGGAAATAAACAGGAATGTAAATACTTACTTGCCAAGCTACAAGGTTCTTCATTACAGTGACAATTCAAACAGAAAAAAAACCTCAGCAAAATCTATTTCAAAAATAAAGGATTGGGTAGATAAAATAGAGTTTAGACACAGAATTTCAGATGGCTCTTTAAAGTTATGTTTTCAAAGAACATTCATAGGTTAAAGGATATAAGTGCCATGGGTAGGAATAACAGTCTATCAAGCCTAGTGTTCTAGGTTCTGTAATACTAAGACATATATTATGGGACTCTTTCCAAGATGTTGGTTTCAAAAGAAATACGGTCCAATGAAATGAGCTCTGGACTGGGATTCGAACTCCAAATCTTCTAATAAATAGTCCTGTATCCTGGGCAGGTCACTTTTAATTCTATGGTTTCAATTTTTTAATCTGTAATAACAAGGCTGATATAAATCCTTATGTCTCAAATCAGGTGTGGCAGTATGCTTGAAGTATGCAAATCCACTGTTATCAATATGGCAGATCTTCCTGAATCATCAACTTTACTTGCTGGCAAATAACTGGAACATAATGCTTACATTAAAATAAATACAAAAACATATCACAGAGCAAAGTTTACACAATTTTTCAAAGAAAAGACATCAAGATATTTAGGGCTACTCTGCAGAGAGCCACTTCAGGTTACCACCTCAGGCATACCACATTTACCCCCTAAGCTACTACTTCAGTAAATAAATTCTATTCTAAACTTAGTTAGAAGAGTAAGTCACAGAATAGAGCTGAAGGATGCATAGAAAAATGGTAAGTGGGTACTATGTGACAGAAAGATCTTAAGGCCAGTGATAGGTATGCACGTAATGACTTACCTAATGTTTACACACAAATGTGAATAAACCCCACCGCTCCAATATTAAGTAAAAGTTGGCAAAGCTTCAGTGAGTGAATTACCTTGATGCAGTAGCTGCACTCGGTATAAGGGAGGCAGAGATGTCAAAAGGCATGTGTGTAGGCGCATAGCTAACAAGTATCTCAAACCACACTCATCTAATGTATCTCTTCCTGTAATTTAAACAGAAAATACGTTTAAGGAAAAAGGAATGCAAGAGGCCACAAACTGATAAGCTATAAAATAAACATTAAACTTAGTCATAATTTATATAAAATACATAAGATATTTTTAGTGTATTCCTTCCTGAACACTTTAACGTTTTTACAAAAAAATTGTATCTTTACAAAAAAATATATGTGACTACTAAAACTCTTAAAAGAAAAATGATTTGGGGAAATACAATTAACTATTAGAACAGATAACAAAAGCATTTATAGTGACATAATAAATGAAAGACATCTTGAAATCCAATAAAAAATATATTAACTATAGTATGTTAGGTACAACTTTTAATAATATTTTCTACACGAATTCCAATGAGATGTAATGGAAATTACATAACTGATGTGAAATCATTTGTTATATATTTAAACAGGTAATATTTTCTACCTTGGTTAAATTAACTGAAATATCGTACTACCAAAGATTTAAAATTTGAATCCCCTGGCTAGTTAGTGTTACATGGTTAGGCTGAATCTTCACCTTGATCCCACAAATTTATTTATACAAATGAATTCCACTTAGTCGAAGTATGAAGGTATGGCAAGTGTAACCAAAACTATAGCCACTGCTGGATAAAAGCAAAGGAAAAATACTGACAGCACCTAACCCAATAACTGACACTTCAGAAGTACTCAAACATTATACAATCAAACAGTATTTTCCAGAAAAAACAAAAACAAAAACTTTTAAATGGCCAAAGATCAAGCCCTAGCTCTGTTTTTCACTACCTATATCAATCCATCTATCTATCTATCCATCTATCTATCTATTTAGCTAGATAGATAGCTATTAGGTTGGTGCAAAAGTATTTGCAGTTTTGCCATTACTTTTGCACCAACCTAATATCTATCTATTTATTTATTTGTAGACATAGGATCTCGCTATGTTGCCCAAGATGGTCTAAAAGTCCTGGCCTCAAGCAATCCTCCCACCTTAGCCTCCCAAAGTGCTGCCATTAAAGGTGTGAGCCACCATGCTCATTTGTCCACTTATTCATTCAACAAATCAAGCATCTATTACATGTGAGGAACTCTTTGGGTACTGGGAAATCAGCAGTGAATAAGGCAAAGTCCCTACTCTCTTGGGGATCATATTTTAGGAGGTAGAGACAAACAATAAACAAATAATATGTGGAAATTAATGCTATGAACAGAAATAAAGCAGGACTGAGAGATGGGGAATGCTAGAGTAAGAGAGTTCTATTTCATACAGTATGGCCAGGAAAGAACTCTCCAATAAGATGACATGCCAGCAGCAATTTGAGGAAGTAAAGGAATGAGCCATGCATGAATCTGGAAGAAGATTCTAATAGAGCAGAAATGAGCACAGACTGTGTGGGACTTTTAGGCCACTTTAAGGCTCTTAACTTTTATTCTAAAGTGAGACAGGAAGGCACCGGTTTATGTTGAGCAAAGGAGAGATTTAATGTGATTTGATTTTAAAAGAATCACTGGTTCCTAGGCAAAGAACAGATGGAGGTAACAAGAATAAAGCAGTTAGGAGATGACAGGGACTTGGACCAGAGTAGTAACTGCAGAGGTAATGATAATTGATTGTTGGATTCTGGATATTAATAGAACTGATAGCATTTGCCAATGAACTGGATATGAGGTATAAGAGAAAGCAGAGTCAAGAATGACTGTACGCTGTTTCACCGAAACAAGTGGAAGAACTCATTTACTTAGAATCCATTTACTGAGACGTGTAACTCATTTAATCTCTGACCTTCGATTTCCCACCTGTGAAATGGAGACATTCATTCCTGCCTTATTACCTCATCAATGTCCACTGTGTCCAGGATACACTATTTCTATATTGCTTTAGCCAATGATACACTTTTGTATTAGAAAGTGTAAACTGTTTTGTTTTACAAATTATGGCATGCCTACTTTCTTAATGTCCCACAGTAAAAACTAATATATATTAAACACACAACACAAGCTTAAGGTTGTTCTGGGAAGAATCTCACTCAACTGCATACAACCTCATAATGGTTAAGATTTTTCTTTTCCAATTAATAGTGAGAAAATAAGTCATAGGCAAAACCCTAGAAGGTCTCTAGTTACTTTAACCTACAGAGGAGAAAACTTTGGGGGATATACTATAGGGATGTAAATCTACATGAAGAGATATTTTCCAGCTGCCTTTCCCCCACAAATCTGGAAATTATGAAATAGTTAAAAGGGTACAGGCTTTGAGTCAATAATTTATCCACATATGAACCCCACTTCTACTCCTTAATGCCTATGTGATCTCAGGTGAGTCCCTTAATTTCTTAAGGATCTGTGTCTTCATCTATAAAGTTAAACATAGTAATAGCTATCTGCTAGAAGATTTTGAATTAATGAAATTTTGATCATTAATTTTCAGTTTCCTTTGCCAATGCTATCATCTACAATCTACAACATTACCCTGAACTATGTGCATAAAAGAGAATGGAATCTAGTTCCAGGAAGCAGCCAAAAATTTTCTAGTTAGAGAATGAATTAGGCAAAATATGTATGACATTAACTGTAAGGAAAGCTCTCTGAAGAGACTTTTTGGAGAAAATTAGGTAATTGTAAAAAGTTGTTTATGGCTAGAAATGGGAAGACCAACAAGTTGAGCCCATGAGGTCCCAATAAGCCTCATGATTCCACAGTAACATTAACAAATGGGCTGTTATTATCAAAGGAAAAATCACAGGGATCAATCTGATTTAAAAAAACAAGAGACTTGGCCAGTCCATGGTGACTCATGCCTATAATCCCAGCACTGTGGGAGGCCAAGGCAGGAGGACTGCTTGAGCTCAGGAGTTCGAGACTAGCCTGGGCAATGTAAGGAGACCCAGTCCCTACAAAAAAAAAAAGAAATTAGCTTGGCCCCATGGTGGTGCACACCTGTGGTCCCAGCTATTTAGGAGACTGAGGTGGGAAGATTACTTGAGCCTGAGAGGTTAAGGCTACAGTGACCTGTGACTGTGCCACTCAACTCCAGCCTGGGCAACAGAGCAAGACCCTGTCTCAAAAAAACAGACAAACAAAAAACCCACCCAAACACACACAAAAAACAAGAGATTATAAATCAAAAATGACACAAAGGTTTCAGTGTAAAAACTCATGAGAGAATGCACATGGATCTCACAAATCTGTGCATTCATATGCCTGCCTCAACTGTCTTTTCTGAGCATATTATATAATAGTAATTGCCTATTAAGGAGGTCTTTTCCATGCAAAGTTTGAAAGTTGAGACTACAATTCAATAAATGAGTCAGTATACAGATAATACAAATATTTCTATTAGGTACAACTTTATCCATTTTTAGTGAGAATATTTACCTGAGCAACTCTTATCTCTGCTTTCATCAAGCTCAGTACTGGTAGTAGCCACTGTATCAGCCAAAGCTACAAGGAACATCTGCTCCAAACGGGTAAGGCCTGGTAGACTTGAGTGCATAAGATGACTTGAAAGTACCCTTGCATGTTCTTGGCCAAAGTAAGCTGGTCCATATTGAGAAAGATTTATTACTTTTGATTTGTTTTCTCTCTTTTCGGGCTCTAAATCAATATCATCCGTTGTTATATCCTGGATTTGAAACAGCTCTGAATACTGATCCTCTGGTTGACTTACTGTCTGATCTTCATAGCTCTGTGGTATCTTTGTACTTTCTTCTGAAATTCTGTAGGATATATCTTGATCTGCAGCAAGTAATGCATATAGTGGGAGTGGAGGGATAGAATCTATCTCAGTATAATCTCGAGTACCATCTTTTCCTACGGTGACTGTTTCCTTTGCTGTACTGCCGCTTACACTAATAGTTCGAGAAAGATGTCGCTTAGTTCCTTCTCCAGCATCAGCATCTCTAACTATTGCTACTTCACCTGCAATACATTTTACTAAATGAGAGAGAATGGCTTTAGCCCTTCGCACTTTCCCTAAATCCATCAATTCTAACAGCTGAGTTGGATGATACTGTGGAAGAGTAGGGGAAAGTACATGTGCAGCCTCAAATAAGCCACCATCTTGAATTACAGTTGGTGAACAAAAAACATCATCAGAAACAGCTGTTCCTTCAACAATACTTTTTCTTGCCAGCATATTAGATTTAAAGGTCAAATGATCTTGCATTGCTGCCTCTTCTGCATTAGGACTGTCAGCTTCAGTGTCTCCAAATTTGACAGCATGCTTCCACTGTGCATATACATGCATTTCACAATCCATTCCTACCACCAATATCCCATCTCTTACCCAAGAGAGAGAAACAGGCAGTGAAGGAGTACCATCAACGGAAGATACCAAGTCTATAGATCTGAGAAGAACCCATCTTGACCTAACCCCTTGCTTGATACTACCACCTAGTGGTAAAGTAATGACAGCTACTCCATCCTTACTGTTGGTTTGCTCTGTCACAATTCCTGAAAGCCTTCCATACATGAAGATATTAGCACCGACCCCCACTGTAAGAATGTGGGAGCCATCTTCTTTTGATACCCAGTCCAAATGTACTAAATGTTTGATATTCGGAATAAGATATCTATCCTTGCTCAAGAGTGCATCTGACTTGCTATACACAAACAGATTACTGTCAACGCTGACCCTTGAATCAAGTACACTCCCAACCTTAACCAAATCATCAAGATGAATTGTTTGTTCTAAAACCCACTCTGATCCTCCTGTAGATTCACATTCAAATATACAAACATGCATGGAAAATTCTTTAGAAATAAAACCATTATGGTGGATAGGTTGCTTATAAGCCACTGCAAGACGACCTGTGTATGAACAGCTAACAGCAACTGGTCTTCCCACGATGCTCACTGTACTGCTATTATCTTCTCCTTCATCATTCATCAAAGGCCATCTCTTCCAATGATAAATTTCTTTCTCATCACTTTTATTACAGTCTGGGTTGGTTTCCATACAACATTTCCAGAAGCGTACTTTATTGTCAGAACAAGTTGTAACCACTAAATAAGGTGCAAGGCACACTGGATAAATTGAAGAAGAACTCAGATGGCCTTAAAAAAGAAAAAGCAAAGTTAGTTATAATAATAATAAAGCCACAAAATAATATGGTAATAATCAAATTCTGGAATGTGATCAATTCAAAGTCACTATGAGCTTCTTCAGAATAACTCTGTAGTCTTCCTCTTAACTAGTATCCCACTAAATGTACATTGGCCAACGTATCTATAAAGGTCTTGAAGAGTCCATCAGTGAATTCAAGGTATGCAATAATAATCACTTAATTTGTTTTTAGGTAATTAAGTTTAAATGAGGCAACCATTTAATTAAAATAAAACTCAAAAGCACTGAAATAAGTCAACCCTTAATGTGTTTCTATTATTTACATTTACCTTTACAACATGCCTCCCTAGACTTTCATACTATATATTTAATCATTTTCATCATGAATACTTAACTGAGCTTTACAATTTGCCTTTCAAATGCCCCAACCCTCCCTCAAATAATCCAGACCCCAGGTGGTACATTAAATTTTGTTTCAGACAGCAAAACAGACCAATAGATCTTACCCATTCTACCAAGTTTAATTCATCCTCTCTTAGCACTGAACCAGAACCCTCTTATCTATTCCTGACTGCCAAAGACTAACAAGGTACATCTGTTGTCAACTGTAAGACAAGGGGATATAGAGATTAAGATCTGAGGTCAGAAGATCTGGATTTGAGTTTCAATCCATCAATAATTTCATTAACAGTGGGAAAGCTACTTAATTAATCATCTGAGCCTGTTCCATCTAAACAACTGGGATCAGTTACTGTTTCCCCTAGAATATTGTTGTCAAATAAGACATTTTATAAGGCCTCTGTAAAATATAATTTATTATCATGAACGCCAATAAACTTGAGTATAACCCAAACCTTTCAAATATTTTGAAAGATTAACAAACTGGCCTAGATCTGCACCAGCCACAAAAGCCCAGAATACACTCTTCTCAATATGATCTTTCCAACTGTAAATGCAAACTTGTCTTAGGGATGAATGAGAAAACACCCTTACTGAATATCATCCACCAGTAATATTAACAGCCCTGAACCTCCAGTTTTGGTTTCCAAAAAACACTATTCTAGAAACTCCCCAATTAAAATTCTACAAGTAGCAGATCACTTTAAATACAGCTGCCAGTCTTGCCCTCCAAATATCTTATCTTGCTAAAGTCGGTAACATTCCAGACCAGCCAAACTATAATCTTTTATCCTACATTTTTGCTCAGAGTATCTGCCAACCCTTGTTCAAACATTCTTAATAAAAGTGAGATATGATTACCACAATGTGAACGAAAAGTCTTAATTTAAAAAAAAAAAAAAAAGCCTCAGTGGTTTACAAATGAATTTGTTCTTTAAAATTTTTACTATCATGATATTCCAAAGTATAGGCAAGACATCTCACATTAAAATATTTACACTATTTTGGCCGGGCGTGGTGGCTCACGCCTGTAATCCCAGCACTTTGGGAGGCCGAGGCGGGTGGATCACGAGGTCAGGAGATCGAGACCATCCTGGCTAACATGGTGAAACCCCGTCTCTACTAAAAATACAAAAAAATTAGCCGGGCACGGTGGCAGGCTTCTGCAGTCCCAGTTATTTGGGAGGCTGAGGCAGGAGAATGGGTGTGAACCCAGGAGGGGAGCTTGCAGTGAGCCAAGATAGCACCACTGCACTCCAGCCTGGGCAACAGAGCAAGACTCCATCTCAAAAAAAAAACACACAAAATAGTAAAAATTTACACTATTTTCTGTCAAGCTGATTACATTTATCACAGGAAATTTTTGTGTGTGTGTGTGTGTATGTGTGTGTGTGTGTGTGTATGTGTGTGTATAGTCTCGCTCTGTTGCCCACCCAGGCTGGAGTGCAATAGTGCAATGTCGGCTCACTGCAACCTCCGCCTCTCGAGTTCAAGCGATTCTCCTGCCTCAGCTTCCCAAGTAGCTGGGATTACAGGTGCATGCCACCATGCCCAACTAATTTTTGTATTCTTAGTAGAGACAAGGTTTCACCATGTTAGCCAGGGTAGTCTCAAACTACTGACCTCAAGTGATCCACCCACCTCAGCCTCCCAAGGTGCTGGGATTACAGAAGTGAGCCACTGCACCCAGTCAGGAAATTATTTCTAATAAAGACGTGTTTCTAAACATCTAGACATATCATTAAAAGAAAATAAATCTTTATTTTAATGTCAACATAGCACATATTTCAGAAGAGTTCATGTATTTTATCTACTAAAGAGTTTACACATTTTATCACTATGAGCTACCACTGTGCAGTCTTAAAATGACCTTACCTGCTGAAGGAGTTGCTCTTATTACTTCAACTGATTCTGGGAGATCAAGGGGTTGGCTATACACCAGTCTAGAACTCAGAATAAGTTTACTGGCAGTTTGAAGATTGGCAATTGATGAAGAATGTGGCATGGGGCTCACACTAGGAGAGGTTTCTGGAGAAGAATCTACATTCTTCTGTCCAGGGACTGAAAGTAGACTCTCAGAGGAAGCACCTTCTGAAGCTTTAGCTTTAAAAATAAATTATAATATTACAAAATGTATGTATATCATTACTATAAATATGAGCTAGAATATTACTTCGTTATTATTTAAGAAACGTAGCTTCTTAAAAGTATTTTGGAGGTGAGGATACAGAGAAAAGAGAACTCTTTAAAATAGAATGACCATATGACTCAGCAATCTCACTACTAGGTGTTTATCCAAAGGAAAGGAAATCAGTGTATCAAATGGATAACTGCACCCCTACATTTATTGTAGCACTATACACAACAGCCAAGACATAAAATCAACCCAAGTATCCATCAGTGAATACACGGATAAAGAAAATGTGGTATATACACAATGGAATACTATTCAGCTATAAACAAGAATGAAATCCTGTCACTTGCAGCAACACAATTGGAAACCAAAGGTCACTATGTTAAGTGAAACAAGCCAGGCACAGAAATACAAATATCACCTGTTCTTTCCCTCACATATGAGAGCTAAGAAAGTGGATCTCACAGAGGTAGATAATAGAATAACAGACACCAGAGAATGGGAAGGGTTGTGGGGTGGGTGAAGAGACTGTTTAATAGGTACAAACAAAAAGTTAGACAGAAGAAAAAAGTTCTATTGTTTGATAGCACAGTAGAATGACTACAGTTAACAACAATACATATTTCAAAAGAGCTAGAAGATCTGAAATGTTCCCAACCTGAAGAAACAATAAACTTCAAAGTAATGAATATCCTAAATACCCTGATATGATCATTACATATTCTATCCATGTATAAAAACATCACATGTACCCCATAAATATGTATAATTATTATGCATCAATAAAATTTTTTTAAAAAATTACTTTGGAGACAAGGTCAATTTTCAAACTTTTGCTTAGTTACTCTGATAGGCTTTTTTTTTTTTTTTTTTTTTTTTTTTACAATTTTACTCTTTCTTAGCAACAGTTCTATCATGGGAGACTGACAGGGAAGAATCACAACATGCAAAAGCTAAAAGAAACCCCTTACACAGTCCAGTGCTTATAACCTTTAAAACACATTAAAAGCTTGAGGAATTTGTTAACACGCAAATTCCCAGGCCTAACCACAGAGACACTGATTTAGATGATATGGGGTAGATCCCAGTAAAGCAGCCCAGGTGTTTTTGAAACAGATGGATCATGAACCAAACTTTAAGAAATAGCAATGTACTGCCTCACTTTTAGATTAAGAAATTTAAACTTAGAGAGTTTAGTGATTTTCCTGAGGCCATATAATTAGCTAGGGGCAAAGAAGATGTTACACTAGCAGCCTCCTATCAAGTACTCAAATCAGAGAATGATTTCAAGAATAAACACAAAAAGTAAAAGTTGTAAGAAAATTTAAGACAATATTAGTTGACTGCCTTTGTAAGCCATATTGACTTGATCTTCCAAAGAACTTCCAGTGAGTATAAATCTCTAAGATTCAGTTATCTGTTCTTCCGTGACATATAAGAGATACTCTATATTATATTTATTTATTTATTTATTTATTTATTTGTGTATCTGTCTCTCCCCATTGGACCACAAATTCACTAAAGGCAGGGATGATATGTTATTGCCTTGTACATCTCAAGGAGCACCAGAATATCTAATAAATAATAATCAATCCTCTTTTGTTTCTGTTAAACATGTCAATCTATCTTATACTGGTAGGCCAATAAGTAAGAAATATGAAAAAAGATTTTTTGTAAAATGAAATGAGACTACAAACTTGAATCCATAGTCAGAATACAGGAGTCCCACTCCTGGCTCTATCACTAATGAGATGTGTTTCCTTAGGCCATGCACTTCACCATCTCTGGCTACTTTTTCACCAGCAAAGTAAGGTTAAAACTACATCATTTCTCTTCCTGTAAAGCATGCTATTTTCTAACATATATCTCATGCTAAGAAAGAAAATAAGAGCAGAAAAAAAAAGCAAAGACTTTAGAGTCACCAAGGCCTGATTTTGAAACTTGGTTCTGTGACAAACTATATAATGGGTCTTGCTCAAGTTACTTACCCTTACTCCATTAGTAAACTGGGTATAATGTCTACCTCACATATATAAAGCACCAATCTCAGTACCTGGCACCCAGAAGGTACTCAACATGTTCCCTTCTCTAACAAAATTTAAACCAATCATTTATCCTCTAACAGGATATTCACTACTGTGGTAAATTTAAGCATTAAATGTGAATGGCAGGATACACTGCTAAATCTGCAGCAAAGATTAGAACAAAAAGATGGATGCTTTCTATCACAGCTAAGAAGAGTAAATTATTTGCCTCTACTGTAATCTCATTGTCTGTGACCTACTGCTGTCACAAACAGTGTAGGCAAGCAACTCAACTCTAACCCTGGCTTTAGTGAGACACACACCTCATAAACAGTGGGGACAAACAGAATCACACAGTTCCTGTCCTCCCACAAGGATCTGTTACTACCTCTGTAAATCTCTTCAGAGTCACTCCTATCTCTGTGCCAAATTCTAGAAATTACTATATTCTCTGCTGGGTGAATCCCTTCCTGATGAACCAGTTTTAGATCCCTTCTCTTGCATTTCTGTCAAATAACATATAATGCAAAAAATTAACTCCAAAGGCTTTGAAAGAATTTTTAAATACCTGGTGCCTCAAGAAGATTAGGCTCAACTAGGTGAAGGTAAAGGTTCTGTCAAATAATTTGGCTTTTCTAATGCCAATTCATGGCCCAGTTAGAACTGCTACCTACAAAGTTATGTGATAATGTATAATACATGTGAACAAAAAAGTACAAATTATTCTTTCACTGTATTAAATGTTGTATAAGAAGTTGTATAAAATCAACTAACATAATTACAAGAAATAATAAACTATTACAACTCAAATATTTTGAGTTAACAGTTTAAAGCAGATTCAATGTGATATGGCTATCCATGTAGTTCTTCATTTTAACAATTATCACTCAAAAAGTAAAAGTTTGTTTTTTAAAAAAACTATGATCAATTTCTTTGCTTCATACTACAGATTTCCCTATTTGTTTAGAGATTAATCTAAATGTGTACAGCAAAAGAATGGCTGAAATAATTTTTTAATCACAATTGCATTTCTTTTTTTTTTTTTCTTTTTTTTTTTTTTGAGACACGGTCTCACTTTGTCACCTAGGCTGGAGTGCAGTGGTGCAGTCTCGGCTTATTGCAGCCTCTGCCTCAAGGGCTCAAGCAATCCTCCCATCTCAGCCTCCCAAGTATAGGCACACGCCACCATACTTGACTAATTCTTTATTTTTTTGTAGAGATGAAGTCTCACTATATTGCCCAGGCTGATCTTGAATTCCTGGGCTCAAGCGATCATCCTGCCTTAGCCTCCCAAAGTGCTGGGATTATAGGCATGAGCCATCATGCTCAACCTGTATTTCTTAATGTTCTACAAAAACAGTTCTGCTTATAAGCCTCAGGCACTCAATTATATTTTATCAAACAGCAATTCTGCTTTTTTTTTTTTTTTTTGAGACGGAATCTTGCTCTGTCACTCAGGCTGAAGTGCAGTGGCACAATCTCAGCTCACTGCAACCTCCACCTTCCAGGTTCACGCCATCCTCCTGCTTCAGTCTCCTGAGTAGCTGGGACTACAGGTGCCCGCCATCACGCCTGGCTAATTTTTTGTATTTTTAGTAGAGATGGGGTTTCACCATGTTAGCCAGGATGGTCTTGATCTCCTGACCTGATGATCTGCCTGCCTCGGCCTCCCAAAGTGCTGGGATTACAGGCATGAGCCACCACGCCCGGCCAATTCTGCTTCTTTTAATGATGATAAAGCTGATGATGTACAGTGTATTGCATGGGAATGTGTATTAACAAAAAAGTACAATATTAGTTCTATGGACATCTAGAACAGTCATAATGTGCACTCAATAAATATTCACTGAAAAAAATAAATCAAGCTTTTTTTTTTTTTTTCAATATGTCTAATGTGCCCATAGGCTAGTTTTTAGGATTAACCAGTTTCATTAATGATTTATGACCTTGTAATTAAAAGTTTAGAAGAGACATAATTCAGCAACTCAATTTACAGTTTACTGGAACTTCATTTTACAGAATTAACCAAATGAATTTATTATGTATCATCTCTGTATGAAACTATAATTACTTACCTAAACATGCTTGTACAGATTTAAGATGAAGGTGCCACATATGCAGAATAGAGTTATTATTGCTGTCCTTCTCAATTACTACTAGAAAGAACTTTTCTGAAAACGGTGGTGGGCGGTATCCTATTATTCAAAGGAAAAGGATATTTAAATTAGTATTTTTTATAGGGTTAAGAAAACACTTTTTAAAAGCTACCACCACCTTTTGATATGCATGGAAGTTGGGAAGAAAAGGCAAGAAAGACCTTTAGGAGGAGTTTTATATAATTTTTGTGCCAAAAGTTAGATAGCCATCAAGGACTAATGAAGTTACGTCAAAAGTACACAAAAGCTAATATGAAAGGATACCTACTGGTCAAAGAGGGGACACTTTGAGCATCAAAGAATAAAACTGAATACAATTTGTTAAAATATATTTATCCTATTACAAACTAGGAGTTTACACAAATACCAAAAGAGGCTACATAAAAAAGAAAGGAAAGGAAAAGAAAGCAGCAGAAGAAGAATGGAAGGAGGAGAGAAGGGAAGTAAGCGGGGTGCTGAGCACACAAAAGCTCAAGCCGGCCTCACAGCATGCCCCTGGAGTAACTGGGCCACTTACTCCTTATTTAGAGAACTGGCAATTAAAAGGAAATAATAAAATATTCAACCTGCTTTCTTGTATGAAAACAGCATTTAAAAAAACTTAAGTTGTGGGAGAAGGAGTAGTGGTAGGGTAAAGAAGAAATTTTGTAGAAATTTCACGCATTTTTTAAAGAAAAGACATTACTTGTATGTATAATTTTCCCTGTTGACAATTATAGTCTTCATAACTGAAAATGAGATCTATGCAGGATAATAAAAGCTTTCCTTAATAATGAAAACTCATAATGACAACTTATTGGCAATGAGCGCTGCTAGAGTTAAAATTGTGGCCTCTAACCATTTCCATTAAAAGAAACAGTTTGGCACTGCATGTTCTCACTCATAAGGGGAGTTGAACAATGAGAATACATGGACACAGGGAGGGGAACATAACATATCGGGGCCTGTTGAGGAGTAGGGAGCTAGGGAGGGGAGAGCATTCGGAGAAACACCTAATGTAGATGATGGGTTGCCGGGTGCAGCAAACCACCACGGCATGTGTATACCTATGTAACAAACCTGCATGTTCTGCACATGTATCCCAGAACTTAAAGTATAATAATAATTTTTTAAAAAGGAACAGTTTGGAAGGATGATTCCATTCTTGCAAAGGACAGCTACAAGATAAACCCAGGAAAATCTTGTGCCTGAAAGAAAGTAAACTATTACAATAATGAGGTTATGTCAAAAGGACTCAGGACCTACTTCAAATGGTACTTACTAGCCTAATATAGGACTATGTAGGCATTTAAAAAATGATTGCAACTGATTGAAATATCCTACATACATAAAAATCCATTGAGTTATATGAGTACTTCTCGTATGTATATTATTGTTCATTAAAGAGTTTTCTTAAAATGAGTTCATATTAATACCTAAAAGACAAAGAAATCCAAACAACAACAACAACAACAACAAATTCAATAGTAGTAGCTGGAGATAACCAGCGCACAGACTCCTCATTCTGAAACTGTCTATTAAATGGAAAGAATTAAGCACTTAAACCCTTTCCAAAAAGAACTGTTTTTCAAAGTAATCCAATGGCCCCAGTAGATAAAGAAATGCTTCTATTTACAGACGTTTTCCAGCTAATAAATAAATGAGAACTGATAAAATTGGAAAATCATAATTTTTCAATCCTTAATGGACTAGTGTAAGATCAATAATATTCAATGGAAGAAGCCATGAGATAAAGACTGCTGTCAAACTATAATGACGGCCGGGCGCGGTGGCTCAAGCCTGTAATCCCAGCACTTTGGGAGGCCGAGACGGGTGGATCACGAGGTCAGGAGATCGAGACCATCCT